CTAGTTAGTTAGCATTTTGCTAACATTAGCTAACTTAAGATGTGACTATATTTATTTATTATATCTTTTAATCTTTGGAATGTGGTTGACTTTTCAACATAGATTAGCTTAGCACATAGCTGACTCTGACCTGAACGGAACAGAGCACCTGGGTTTACCCTACTGTTTCATGTCACAGGTTGCTGTGAAAAAGGTCTATTCAGTCTGATAATCAGGTGATACAACCTATAAAACTGTTAATGAAAAACAAAGCCACTCTGCTTTTCACAATTTATTAACAAAATGATAAAATAAATAAATACAAATTGATCAAATGCTCCTAATATCAACTCCTCCCCATGTTCCCTACAGTATTTCCTAAACACTGCATACAAAGAATTCATCACAGAAGAGGCTCAATACAGAGGTAAGAATCCCACCAGACCAGTCACAATGTCAGGCCAACAGAAGACACATCTGGAACAGAAGTCAAAAAAATAAACACATTCCTTTCCAAAATCATTATGAAAAAATACAAACAATTATACAAATATTCAGATTGTGTAATTACCAATTTACACATTATTCAGCACACCAGGTGAACTTTTTCTTTATTCATATCGCTACAATGCATCTCACCAAATGGAAGATAAAAAAAGACTTCTTTTATTTTTTATTCATTTTTTTTGCACTCAACACACCCCCAATGGAATTAGCTGTGGATGAGGTAAGAAGCTTCAGGTGTACAGTTGGGTCCGGACAGGATGGATGGCGAGCCGTAACGATGGGGTGATGTCATGTTATCGACAGAATACTAGAAGGCCACAATCATGACTTGATCGTTTTTTTGTTTTTTTTAAAGTAAAAAGCTGAAAACTTTACCACACGGGGGAGCTGGAGGCGAACGTTTCAATGCATATAAGACTTCCTCTAATACAAACACGGTCCTCTCAGCTTGCACACGATGCTGACGCAGAAATTAATTTCCAAATGATATGCAACATTAAAGGCTTCCAAACAGAAATGTAGAGTTCTTTGGATAAATTCACTTTTAGAGCTTGACTAAATAGAAACCGAGGAATTCTTTTCTCTAGAATACAATGACACAATTTAGACACGAACCCCCTCCCGACATTCAGCATGGTGCATAAGCCAAATTAAAATCTAAACTCAGGAGAATTTCGCTGCTCCGTCTGTTAAAACTCTGCTTGCAGGAAGAAATGTCTCCGTTTTTATGGAACCTCATTTCAGCCAAAGTGAGGCAAAAAAAAAGATTCTGAAAGTCATTATAATGATAAACTTTCTCAAAATAACAGGATAGTTTTACAATATTTTTACTTAGTATCACAAAGTCATTATTTTACTAAGTCAATAAGTTGATAAAGATTCTCATTACAATGAGAAAGATCTTTTTTTCCCGTCACATTGGCAGAAATGAGCTTCCATACATTCTAACGTGGATGGCTACCGCACTGAACTGCACACAATTGGCATCAGGATGCCAAAAGAAAAAAAGGTGACTCGAGTTTTTAAAAAAAGAACAAAAGTAAATAAAATAAAATAAAATGCATATTAAAAAGGTTTGACAAATCTTGTATAAAAATTTGCATAAGAAGGCATGCGTTCCACCAGAGTGGACAGATGTTGCTAATTGGGTCTAAAGTTTGTTCGTTCCAAATGCACACAGGCTCCGGCTTTACGTGACCTGATTGTAACAAACTCCTCCGAAAACACAAGAAGAAGAAGAACCACAGCACGGCGGGAACAATGAAAACAAAAACAGCTCCCGATTCCTGACCGAGGAGCCGACTACACGGGAACCGGACCGCCCCGTTCTTTACACTCTGTAATAATAATACTGGTCGAACCAAAAGTGCGTCACAAACAGCTGGCTGCCACACCGGGCGAGATCTCATCACCAACAATCCTCTCTTTGGAGCTCGCCAATCGACCTCTGAGCTTCGCCAGCGTCTGCAGCGATTCTTTTTTTTTTTAATAATGTAAAAGTTTAATAAAGGAAAATAAAACACATTTAAGGCAACTCCTATAATAAACAACAACAAAACACTATCTGGTCACTCTAAACGGCTGTGTGAGAATATGAACGTAGTTGGTAACTTGCATTGACTACTGGCAGCCTGAGGTGAAGGGACCGGGTTTGTGCTCCGGAGGTTCGGGGAGGGGGGAGCTCTNNCTCGGAGGGGGAGGCGGGTCGGGGTGGGAGGATTTATCCGGAGGGTTAGTAAGGTTCTACAAGTCACAGTGCAAGTCAAGAGACAAATATTATCTGCTGTTTGAAGAAAGGCACTCTAGGTACCTACTGTACAGAGGGAAAGGTCCAGTTTGTCTGGAACACAAGTTCGGGCTCGTCCAAAGAAAACCTGGTGGAGTGATGACGACTAATGAGGGAGAACGTCCACCCGAGAAAGCTGACAAACAAAACACACAACGAATGGAATTCATAAGGAATTGGGGACATATTAGTTGCCATTTTCTCAGAATTGCAGTCTTTTCCTTCCATGTTCGAATGGCTAAACTCTTCGTAAGAGACACATTACATTTATCAGACAACACTGTGGCCAAACATGTGGAAATGTTAGAGATTTTCTCTTTTCTGGGATCTTCTGAATGAAGGCAGTTTGTACAGCTGATGTCAGAAAATAAGGTGTTGTGTCAGATATGTTGATTCAGTTACAAGAGTCCGTATGATATGAAAAAAAGACAGCTGTAACAGCACATTGTATAGTCGCCCAACAATGTGTTCACCCCCGCAACCGCGTGCACGTATAATTCGCTATTATTGGACGTCTGTGCAGAACTGTGTCAATAAAAACAGGCACAGATTTCACCCTGCCCCAGAGAGTCTACAGCCATGCTAGC